GCCGTATAAAATAGCCTCAAAAATTGCAAAAATAAATGATGGATGTATACACAATAACTAGGAAATTTAATATCTCTCTTTGGAACTGATAGAATGAACATAGAACTATCTGGGAGGATATACAATATTTGATCCATATGGGTAAAAATAGTGTTTGGGGAAGAGCAATGATGTCTAATCTAGTGAACTACTTGACGAAGTTTTTCACAACTGATGAATTTAGGCAGCATTAATGAAAAACTGGGAGAATTTCAGCAAATAAAATAACCCAATGATTTTGAGTGAGTTCTCTAATGCCAAAAGTATGTTCTATGTGATTTAAATTGTTAATATCTATTTCCAGTGATAGAATCATAGTTAAGAGTCTTTTAATGGTTTAAAACATGAAACTAAGTTTGTGAGATAAAATTTTAATTGGCATACTTTAAAAGTCCTCGATGTCATTTGTTTTAGTAACATTATTTGGCATTTTAAAAAGAGGAGACATAGCCAGTTGCTGTGGCACATGTCTGTAATCCCCAGTGATTTGGGAAGCTAAGGTAGGAGAATTGAAAGTTTGAGGCCAGCCTGGGCAACTTCGTGAGACCCAGTTTCAAAAAATAAAAAGAGCTGGGAATATGAATCAGTGGTAAAGCACCCCTGGGTTTAATCCCCCACCTAAATAAACTAATTAATTAAAAGCAAAATAAAGACAATGAGACAAATTATAAAGTGCATAAATCTCAATGAACTTTTACCTGTGTAGTCTGGTCCTAGAATATTTCTAGCATCCTGGAAAGCCCCTCATGCCCCTTTCCAGTGAATACCGCCCTCCACAGAGGTAACAATATTTTGCCTTCTATTTTCATTAATATTATATACCTATTAACATAGATGTGTTCTTGAATGTCATGTAAATGGAATTGTACATATGTCCTTTTCTGTGTTTGGTATCTTTCTTTCAATAGGGTTTGTGAGAGAAAAAAAGCTTGTTAGGATATTAATTGAAACTGTGTTGATTGTTTAGATCAACTGAGTATTGACAAAACACAGTGTGACTTCCAATTCATGAACATGTTATTTCTATAGGTCTTCATTAACTTATTTCAGAAAGGTTTTCTTTCATTAGATTTATTCTATTATGTAAATATATATATGTATATATATATATACATATATATATACTTATTCTACTATGTAAATATATTTATGCTACTATATAAATATATTGCAAAAATTGTATATTCTGTTGTTTGTTGCTAGTATACAGAAATTCAGTTAAGTTTGTATGATGACTTTGTATTCAGTGACCTTTTCTAATTCATTTATTGATTAGAATTGTAAATTACTTTCAATTTTTAGTCATATATGTGAGGGTAAAAACATTTTTTCTTCTTATCTCTTTAGCTTTTATTTCTATGGCTTCCTTTATTTCATTGGCTAGGCCTCCTGTACACTATTGAAAAGAAGTGATGATAGGGAACATCGTTCTCCTTTTCCCCAATCAAAGAAAAACACACATTATTTCTCCTAAATGTGATGTTAGCTACAAGAATATTATTTTTTAGAAAAGTTTTCAGAAAAAGAATATAGGCAAACTTACTTGATAAATAATCATATGAACGGGATTAAATCTGGAAGAGTTATATAGCTGCTTTTCTATTATTTATTTGAAATAATTTATTCTTAGATTATAAAGAACAAAATGCAGAAGATGGAAAGTAAAAAAAATGGCTTATTTTGTGCTGTTTGGAGCATATATTGAATATTTAGCAATAAGCTACATTTTAGAGAGAACACTGACCAAGTGGAGTGACTGCTTAGAAAGAGGAAATGAGGATACTAAGGGTTTTGCAAACCATCTAGGATAAGGAATTATTGAAAGAATGTGGGTAGGCTGGACATTCAGTGTGTCAGGTAGAAAAGGAAATAAACTTGGGTGCATCACAATGATGGAAATAGGATGAGAAGGTGAAAGTCACAATGAGTAAATAGCACCGAATATAAGAAATACTGTTATAATAATTAGAATTTTCTGATAATGGAAATAGCCTTGTCTTGGGAATGAGTAGGTGTAGAATAATTGGTAATGTTCCAGCACAGCTTGGATGGTGTTGATGGGCTTCCTGCCATTGGCAAGAGGTGGTGCTACTTGACTTCTTTATTGGGAAGGAAGTCATACTAGACAATTTTTTGAATTGACTCAAATATTACAGCTGTGATTCTGTAGAAAACCTTTATAGGAAATATGTTCTCTCTCCCTTTTACATTTGAAAGATGTGCCTGAAATCTGAATTCCAGAAATAGTGTTCAAAAATAAGTACATCTTCCATTGAATTGTTGACATTTGATCTGTAGGACCCAGAAAGATTCTAAGGAAATGTGTCCACATAAGGAAGTAATAAAACATTAAATGACTAGCTTAGAAAAAAAGAGAAAATAGCCTTAATTTTACTTCAATCATTTTCTCTTTTCTGTTGCCTCAAAAGTAGTAATATTCTCAAGAGAGTTTTTAAAATATATATATTTTTTAGTCCATGATAACATGATTATTCAAAGATGGCCAAAGGTGGGAATCTGGACCCAGACCAATTGCTCAACTTAAAGCTCTGGCTTTCTGACCTTGGTCAAATTCTTTATAAACTCTAAAAAACCACACTTTTCCCCTCTGCAAGATGAAGATGACCATGGGTTATCTAAAGGACTGTTGAGGAGTTGAAGGGTGGGGGGAAGTCTTACAAAGCGCTTAGCCTTTTTCTTGCTCATTGAATGGTCTAAGAAACTTAGGTTTCCCTAAGAGTTAGCTAGTCTTGTAGGAAAAATATTTCTTTGAGGCAATCAGTACTCCACACATGTAGAACTTAATCACATAGTTTGAAAAGATAGTAAAGAGAATAATAAAATATTATACAACCATCTAGTAGTTTTCTTAGGATTTGAGTGTTAGGAAAATGCTGATTAACCCACAATCTTCAGATGACAGTCAGGATTGTGCATCTCCCTTTTTCTGTATCCCTCTCCTCCTTATCTTTGCCGAAGCTAGGAATTTTCAAGCACATTTGTGTAAAGAAGTAGAAGCTGCCACCCGGAACTTCACGGGAACTTCTGATGGAACTCACATGCTTAATTTCCATACTGATATTGAAGAAAGGAAATATTAAATATAAATGCTGCTAGTAAAACATCAACAGTAGTACTCATATACTACACAGTACTCATAGACTACATCCCCTGCCCCCATAACACACAAGCACAAACATGCTGACATAAACCAGGCTTCCATTCTGAGGAGTCAAAGAAAGAAAAAATGAAGGAAAATATGTATCTAACATTTATTGATGATTGCTTTATAAATTGGGTGTCCTTACATTTTCTTACATGGAGGTGAGCACCTCAGGGAATTATAAAGGGTGCTGGGTATCAGTATGGACCAGGATTTGAGTTGCTTCTAGAATTCCTTATCTCAGCAACTCAGAGTGAAATTGCCATGGCAAAAGGGAACCTAGCTGAATAAGTAGGGCAGTGTTTGGACAGCATTTCGCTAGCATTACTGAGAGCTAGCATTTCTCAGGAACACCGAGTTCCTCCCACCCCACCTGCAGGTGGCTGCCTATGGCTTCCTTACAATTGGTGGACTGATGGAGTTGGTATGCTTGCTGTGAGGGGGTGGACATTATTACTGCAGAACTCCTTCTTCTCCTGCAATGCCTTTGCTATTGAGTAATGTTTTCTGTAGATGATTTCTGCACTAATGAGGGCTCATTTTACTCACCAGAGGTTTGCTAGATTTTAAGGATTCCAGAAAGCATTGCCATGGAGAAGCTGCTATGCTTGGCAGCCAAAGCCCCTTTCCACCTCTGTCACTGCTTCCTGAGAAGAAATGTTTTGTTTTTCAGTCAAATGCTGAGTGCTTCTCCCTGGTTAGCATTTGATTTTGGACTTGGGTCCTGAAATGAAAATCTAGATGGATCATAGAGAGAGAAACTGTCCTTCAACATTCCCTCACGCTGAGGGTTCTGAGTCCAGCTTCGGCCTGCCAAGTGATGCCTTTAGAAAAAACATACCCCACAGGGGAACACTTGTGCTCTGTTACAGCATCTTTCCTCAGCTTTGAAGAGCTAGGAACGTTTCAGCTGAGAATCATTAGGGTGTGGGGAAAATAACGGTTGTTAAGAGTTAAAAAAAAGAAATAGCAAGAAGGGGCCATCTGTAGTGACTCAAACTGTATAAATTGAGTCCTTTAAAAGTTGTTGTCCAAATATCTCACAAAGTGACCATCTCAAATGGCTTTGAGCTTTTGAGTACAGGTAGTAGAAGTCTAGTTAACCTTTTGAGTTAATATGGCTTCAAAATGTAGGTGGTCTCACGCTCTTTATCCTTTTCTGGTAATATTTTCCATAAAAGAGTGAGGAAAGCCATACTTGCTTACTATTTTTTCCACAAAGTAAAAAAAAATTTACTTAGCACCTCTTGGCTTCCAGTTCAACAGGACAGAGCACCACACCCAAGGTTGGCCACAGGAGCAGATGGTCAGCTGGCAGATATTTGCCATCTTCATGACTGTGTTGGAATGTAATCAGCCCACGTGACTTCACTTCTCCTGGACTCTCATTAACGTAGATCTCATAGCATACACACAGCAAAGTGAGTGTGCACAGCCTTAGAGAAGGCTCAGGCCAAGGGTGGAGATGACCCTTTTGTTGAAGGGTCATAGGCACAAGCACCAACATCAGAGGGCACTGGTGAGGTACCTAACCTGCAGGTACCCAGACATCAAGGAAATACATGACTACCATCCCTGGTGTGGAGGATAAATTGACCCCAAAAGGAGTGAAAAATGGACTTTATGTGACACATAGGCTTCAAACAGTCTCTAAACTTGGCCAAACAAGTTGATTATGGTCAAAGAGCAGGAAAGTGCCTATGTCACAAAGGGCAGTAACTTTGTGACACAGGCAAAGGTAAATTTTGAATGTGGGTATATGATGATTTTCTTCCCACACTTTGACACTGAATGTATCCTCTTCCATACAGCAGCCAGGAAAATTTAAAATCTGAAATTGCAGTTAGCTAGAGTGTGAACCTTCCATCCATTGTCTGGGGCCATGGGCCAACAGATAGAACCACTATTGGGTAATGACTATCCCACTAACATATTGAGAGGATTTTTGTACTGTAGAAATGACTTTCCATATAATTTTATATACTGGGTATGAAGAGTTTTGTGGAGATTGGATTTTGCTTTTGTGGCAGAAAGTTATAGCAAATAATTCTATTTGCATGTGCTGAGGTTACTTAAGTTATTGAAGTACACAGCAACCATTTGATTCTTGAGGCATCCTTGTTTGGGAGAATTCAGAGTAGAAGCATGAGTATGATGTACTTAGAAGTTTCTTGAGTTAGATTCCTAATGGTCATTTAAAATGCTCAACAGTGTGACTGTTTGCTATCAAGAAAAAGATAGAACAACAACAACAGCAACAACAACAAAACAAATCAAAACATCGCTTTAAGGACCACTTCCTACATATGAATGTAAGCTTAAGGAACCACAGTTGCATAATTATGTCCTAAACTGAGTTTGACAGTCACATAGATACTTTAAATAGTCCACAGGTATTAGTGTAGTATCCTGAGAGAAAAAAAAATCAATATATTATTTCTACTTTTAGGGAAAATTTTTCATGGAAGTTAAGAGATTTTAGGATGGGTTTTGAAGACATGAAAAGATAAACCATAGAAACAATTCCTAGTTTTGGAACTTTTTATGAGATGAAGGAAACATCTCCCCATCCCTCTGTTCATTTTATTTTGTATTTTCATGGTTCATGAAGTAATTTCATGATAGCATATGTCTTTATGGAAACATAAATAGCTTCTCCTTTTCTCACTGTAAACTAGAACTGGATGTAAAATTTGGGTTCATAATTAGTCTCACAAGTTGTAGAATGCATATTAAGACCCTTTGCTTTCTTTTATATGGTCAATGTTCCCATTATTTTGCAATTTCTTTTATTGGTAACTTTTATGGTTGTCTTAAACTTACCATGTGTATTGCCCTCAGCCCCTGGAAATGTTTAATGGGTCTCTTAAGGACAGAGGCAATATTTTATCCCAGAGATCTGCTTTGATGTCCACATTTTCTTGATTTTTACCACAGATGAAAAATAGGTACTAAAGACTAAACACAATAACTTACCAGGCAGTCATCTGGATACTAAAAATAATTTTTATTTTTCCTCTTTCCTCTGCTCCAACATTTTACTGAGATAATGTGACCTTCATGCCATGTAGCTGGGAAGGTATGGTTTTCATCTTAAATCTATGGTTCCTTAAACAAAACAATTGAATATCCTGTTTTGGAGATTAGTTTGAATATTAGGAAACTGTTTTTTTTTTAATCCTAATTCTTAAATGTGCCCCAATTTGTCTTATTGGAAGGATATCTGGAGAGATTTGAGTTTGCGTTTACCAAGAGAGAATTATGGGTTCTTTTTGAACTTCAAGGAGAGTTCCATTTGCATAGAGAAGGGACTAGCGCTGAGGAAAAGTCCGTTCAATGTGTCTTCTTGGCTCACCTGTAACTACCTAAGCTCACCTATGTCTTCCCTCAGAGACCTGAACTGGGGTGATGTTTCAGAGATTGGAGTCCCTAAACCAATGCTAAGAGATCCAGAGCAAGTTTCTTTCAAGAGTTGTTTCTTGGAAAACATAGTTAAGATACAGCTCAGTGGGGCCATTCTGAGGCTCTGAAACACCAATACCTCCCAACAAGAGGCCAGGAGCCATGAAGGCTGGAGGGAATGTCCTGAAAGCTGCTGTCAGATGGACTTGCCAGCCTGGGAACTCCCTTGAGAAATACCCACGTCCCAATTGTTGGTTTAAGGCTTGCAGGAAGGGCACAAACAGTTGGGCTTTCATTGTACTAATCTTCCAGGACAGAGTATAATTATTCCCTAAAATATCTGGAGGATTTGAGATGTTAAAATTCAGATAGGAGCTTGAGTCTTGCAGGGTCCCTTAGTTTTTTGGGTATGTGGATGATTCAGTATTGTATAAAAGGGTTTTCTACAAAATTGCTTATTTCTAATGTTGGAGACATGTTTCTCTTTTCTTTTTAGTTGATTAAAAAATCCCTGTGAGGCATCAACTTGGTGCTGGGTTGAGGGCCATACTTTGTGTGTATATGTGTGTGTGTGTGTGTACGTGTGTGTGAGAATGTGCATGTATGTGTATGTGTGAGTGTGTGTGAGTGGATGTGTATGTGTGTGTCAATGTGAGCGTGAAGTGTGTGTGTGGGTGTATTTTGTGTGTGTGTGTGTGTGTGTGTGTGTGTGTGTGTGTGAGAGAGAGAGAGAGAGAGAGAGAGAGAGAGAGAGAGTGAGTTAGCATCTCTTAGGTGTCTCAGAAGCCACTCTACCACTGCCCTTCCTCGGCATCGGTTTCCAGAGTCTGCAGTGAAGGTTTTCATTGCAGGTAATCAAGAAACTCTCATTTACAGCCAGAATCAAACTGCCTGCCACAAGCACAGCCAACATAATAGCATACTGCTGGCAGGAGACAATCATTGCTCTAATATCTTTCAGGCTGCCAAAATGAAAATGCACAGTAAAACTGCTGTCCCAAGCAGAAACTTTCAACTTTTAGACCTAAACTATTTTACAGGGCACCTGTGCAATCAGAGCTGCATTAGGTAAGGTTGTTCCTGGCGATAAGTGACTTGGCTCTGTCATTTTGTAATTTCCTCTCTTTTTCTCTTTCGTAAGTGGGTTCTTATTTGTCTGCAGCACTGCTGGGTGCCCTTGGCCTCTCAGCCCCTTGGATCTCCTCTTTCTAGGCTAGGCTGTCAACTTGTATGTGTCTGGACTGGTCTTTCTTCCTTGTTCTCAACCTTCACCGAAATGCTCCCTGCTGTAGAACTTGACTTTAGTGCCTTGATAGATGATTTGCTTTTCTACTAGGAATTTCATATAGACCAGGAGTTTCTTCAAGACCTGTTTGTTTAATCTTGTCAAGAAATATGAGGTTAGGCCATTTTTGAACGTATACAACTTTGCCTCCTTTTAATGCCACTAGTGATTGCACAGAGAAGTTAGATAATAGGTATGTAGGATTTAGTGCTGGGAGGGTATTACTATTATAACTTTATTAATTTATATTCATCAATCCATTCAATTATTCAACAAAATTTTATTATGTATATGCTGTATGAGAAAAGTAAAATTTGTTTGCAACTTTGGTCATTTTTTCTTTAAAAGAAAATATTTGGTTCTTTGAAGGATTCTATACATAAGTCCTGTTGGATATTATTTTTGAAAAGATAAATAGAAGAACTAAAAGAAAAAAAATCTGATGGAGAACTTCAAGTATCATTAAAATAGCATTAAGGGTATTGGAGAAGACTTTATGTATCTTAAATGAGAAAAGGGCAAATGTGTCCCTTCTTCAATTTTATCTATTTATGCTAAATGAAAGCATATAGAAGCAATGAACTATTAAATATAGGAGCTTCATAGTTTAATTTTCTAGTGCATATGCTCAGAATAGCACTTTTAAATGTTAATGATACTATTAATTCCCGAACTCTATTTTCATATTTAAAATCACCTATTCTTCTGCAAGGTAGAAACCTGCCTTTCTATTTTATGGAACAAAAATGTCCCAACTCTGATTTGTTTTGCAAGGAAAAGATGATTTAAATATTCTTGATGTCTTTTCTCTTGCCTCAAAGCTGCTCAATGGGGTTTTAATCATAAAATTTCCAATTCAATTAAGTCTGAAGGAGCATATAGAGGATTGCTGGCAAATTCTCCCTTCCCTCTCATCATCTACTTCACTCCTCCTTTCCACAGTCCTTGCTCCAAAAGACTGTGGTAATAGCTAGGCGAAGTGATTTGTTATGTTCTCACAGGCATTTTCTTCTGTACTCTTTTAATTTTGTTGGGGTTCCTTTTATCTACCATTCACTGAAGTTATCTTTGAAAAGTTCAAAGACTCTGATGTCATTTCAACATAATGGAATACACCAATACAGTATGTTTTGAGGGCCATAAGAAATGCTTTTAATAAGTATTCCAAAGTATCTTCCTTTTGAGATCTAACCCAGTGCTCCAAAGTTCCACACTAGTTACTGAATCAAAGAAGTGTAGTGTGTGGCTCAGATGTCTTCCTGAGTCTTTCAGGGAGGACTCAGGTATAGGAAAAGATGAGTGAAGGTATCATATGACATTGCACATGCTTATTGCTCTACTATCTGATTATTTGTGAATGCTGTGAGGTATTCTAGTTGATATTCTGTGTGTTTTTATTGCCATCTCTAGGTATGTTACTTCTTGGTGAAATACTATGATGTAGGACCATAATTTCAGGCCACCATGCACAGTTGTGCATTTCATACCCTATGTGACTGCACATGGCAATCAGGGCGAGAAGGATGAGTGGTTTCATGCACCTTCCTCTCCTGGCAATATCATGGAAGGAGTGGCTATTTCTTAGGGAGGATGGTAGGACGAACAGATCTCAGAGGGGAGGTAGACTTACTCAGTTCCTATTTTATTTTCATTTGCTACAGCAAAGAGAGTGCTTTTCAAGTTGGGAAAGTGAGAACAAACACTATAAATCTTGCCGAAAATGATGTATAGCATCTAGTTTTGAAAACTGAGTTTAAGCTTATTGATTCTTTTAAAAGGAATTTATCAATATAATCCCAGAACACTTCAATGTTCTTTGTACAGTTATCAAGAGCATGAAAAGTGGGAGCATAACAAGGATGTACAAATCTTTCTTGATTAGAACACAGAAAATGGTAGATTTGGGGCGAAAGTAGCAGGAGAGTAGTAAACTGAAAATACTTTATTTGCCAAAGTTAGGAGACTTTGTTCTAGAGATGAACTGCTTAGTATTTTTCCTCCTGGGTTAGATTTTTCTATTTTTCTCCTTTCCTGTTGGGAGAAGTGTTCCCTTAAGCCGGATGGTTGTTTCAGTCTTTCAGGGTCCTTGCTAGGAATATTCCTTTCCCCCACAAACCTGTTTGCTTATTTTTAAAAGGAGTTTTATGTACTAGAGAGCAAATGCACATTGCTGCTGTATATTCCCCTGAATGGGAAAATGTCAAAAGGGTTAACTCCTTCAAGATGCAAAGCCATCTTTTGCATTTGCCAAACCTGAATTTGGTTCTCAGGTTCTGTTGGGGAGAATCATGGTTCCCTATGCAGTGGCACTTCTGTGTCTGGTTCCCCTGCTGTGCTGGTGCCAAGTGCTTCTGTCTTCAAGGATTCCTCTGCTTTGTGGTATGTTGATAGTTGACTGTTGTTTTTAGTGCTGGTATAGAATATTCTTTGAAGATGATGGTTTCTGTCTTACTCTTTTTGTGCTATTGTAAGAGTGCTTGAGAGTGGGTAATTTATTATGAACAAAATGTATTGACCACAGTTCTGGAAGCTGGGAAGTCTTATATAAAGATGTTGGCATCTGGTGGGAGCCTTTTTGCTCTGTCAACCCAAGGTGAAAGGGCAAAGACTGGGGTGGGGTAGGCGCATGGGGCTAGAAAGACGAAAGGGGGTTAAACTCATCCTTTCTTAGGGAAAGCTAAATGCTGGTTCAAAAGAGAATCCAAAGAACAGACACATATATAGATAATTGGAAATGCTGAAATGAATCTGTTAATAAGTACAAAACTGGTCAACATCCACAAGACAAAATCTTGTCCATAGTGGGAACATCAATTACATCTCAACTGGACAAATTTCACTTGTATCTCTTTGGACAAGAGTCATTCGTTCTGCTATCAGGTTTTTATGACTTATAGAGTTATAAAATAACTTAACGACAGTGAAAGAAAGACAACTGGAAGATTGAGGCATGACACCTAATAATCTTTGAAAATTCCAAAGTTTTTCACATTTTTTTCTAATATTTTTTGAAGGTGGCACTCCTTATTAAACTTCTGACTCCCTTCCACTTCCCCACCCCAATCTCACATGATATTTAAATGACTCTTTTCAAAGTTAACAATGAACCTTTTCAGAATGGCTTCTTTTACTTAATAATATGCTCTTAGGATTCCCCCATGTCTTTTCATTGTTAGTAATTCATTGCCTTTTGGTACTGAATGATCTTCACTGTGTACATGTACCACAGTTCATCATTAATCTACTGAAGGACATCCTGGTTGCTTCTAAATTTTGGCAATTATGAATAAAGTTACTATAAGTATTCTTGTGGGCATTTTTGTGTGGACTTAAGCTTTCAACTCTTGGGTAAAAAGTGTGGTTGCTGGATCACATGGTAAGAGTTTTCTTTCTTTCTTTTTAATTCTTTGTTTGTTTGTTTTGGTACTGGGGGTTAGTACAGGATGCTTAACCACTGAGCCACATTCCAAGTCCTTTTTATTTTTTATTTTAAGATGGTCTCATTAAGTTGCTTAGGGCCTTGCTAAGTTGCCGAGGCTGGCTTTGAACTTGCAATCCTCCTGACTCAGCCTCCTGAGTTGCTGGGATCATAGGCGTGCACCACTGTGCCTGGTTTATGGTATGAGTTTTCTAAGACACTGCTGAACTGTCTTCAGAAGTGGTTGTATGATTTGGCATTCCCACCAGCAGTGAGTTCCTGTTGCTCCTCACCCTTGCCAGCCTTTGGTGTTGTCAGTGTTCTAGATTTTGGCCAGCCTAATGGGTTCATAATGGCATTTCACTGTTGTTTTAATTTGCAGTTCCCTGTTGACATATGATCTAGTCATATGCTTATTTCTCATTTGTGTATCTTTTTCAGTGAGCTGTCTGGCAAGGTTTTTGGCTGACTTGTTTCCTTGACTATAAAATTCTCATGCAGACTTAGTAAATTTCTAGGCAGTACTATGTGCATGTAGCCACAGCAAAGGTCTTGTCTAGACATAATCTAAAGGTTGGAGACTAGTGTTTTTTTTTTACTTCCTGGCTCCTGTTCTTTGCCCTGATGTTCCCTCTCAATTTAATGCTGCCAGCTGGAGGTGGTAAGAGACAATGGTCTCAGGTGAAAGGCTACACACTTCATCTGGTCTCTACCATCAGATTTTATGACCTTTAGGCAGCTTTGTCAGTTCTTTCTTGAGAAAGCTACCTCTTTGGAGCCTGTTCATTGTTTCAGTGTGGGATATACAAACATTTGGTTTTTTCAGTCCTATAAGTTTCCAAATTACAGAAGAGCTTCTAATTAGAAGCTTCTAATTTTCCAATTCAGGTTGGAGACTAATTAGGTCCAGGCTGTGAGTGTATTGCTTTCATACTCAAAAAGCATGAAAACACAATATTCTGATTTTTTTCCTGCCATTTCCCTGAATGTTTCAGTTTCACTTAACATATGGTATTCTAAGATAAAGCAGGGGATAGTATAATCATGCTTTTCTACCTCAAAGCAAAGATACCAGTTCTCCATCCTGTCTCCTTTACATTCTCTTCCAGTAGTCTGTTCTAAGTCAGTGCCTTTATTCTGGGTTTGGCCACATGCAGAGTCTAATTTCCAGGTAAAAATTTTGTATTAGTTAGGGTTAAGTTCAGCCGAGATTAACAGAAACATGTCAATCACTAACAAGAAGATGAAAATAAGATAAAAACTCATGTGAAAGTCTGGGTGTAATAATTTGGGGTTGCCATGTGGCTTTGCTCACAAATTCCTCAGGGACTCAAGACCTTTCCTGATTACTGAGACACTCTCCCTAGGGTGTAGACCTTGTCCATAGGGGCTCCAGCCATCACATCCATATCCTTAGAGCTGGACAGAAGAGGAATAAGAAAGAAAAGAAATAAAGGGTGAATAGCAGCTATGTTTCCTAGATGATGTATAATGCTTTTCTTCACATCTTGACAGCCAACATTTAATCATATGTCTGTGCCATCTCTAAGGGAGGCTGAGCAAGGAGATGAGAAGCGTACTGGAAGATACTTCTACCACAGTGGCCTAGACAATCCACACTAGTTAGTTTATTTTCTGTCTATGGCTGCTCCTTTCATATTACATTGTCAAGTTGACTTTTAAAATGAGTCACTGATGTCACAGTGGAAGTTAACATAGCTAGGAATTCAGATTCCAAAGCTTCATGCTCTGGGTTTTTAATGTTAACATTAAGAAATTCACTACTTTTTTTTCATTTTTCAATAAATTTCCTTGGCAGATGCCCCACTCCTAATAACCTATTGTGAAACTATCACCTCTATTACATTGTTAGTTAATGTAAGAATTAGGGATAGGATTTGGTTCTTTTGGTCCCTAAACTAGTGCTCTTTCCACTGCAATTGAAATGAATAAAATATTTATGTGTAGAGACATACCCTTGAAGGGTTGCATTTTCAAACTGATAGACAAATCAAGGAGCATTGTCCTACAAGAAATTTATGCCAAAGAAAATGTTAAGTCTAAATTTGAGAAAAATTGGTTGTACAAAGAAAACTAGGCTTCTTCACTGCAGGAATTCACAGGGTCTTTAAATATGCTATGTACATTTTGAAATTTTAAGACAGAGCTTTATTTTGCAAACTTATTTAACCTCTGAATGCTTAATGTCACTTTATACCCCAGTAACATCTCCAAGAAAAGTTTGTCATGGAATACAATTTGGGAAATATTTGAGGAGCACTTATGCCACAATGCTGGCTGCTTTGGAGCCTACAGTGAATAAAATTACCCCGAATCCTAATAATATGCAGTGTAATTAGGGAAAGAAGCCATGGATACATGAAAAGTGAAATTAAATTATATGAATTCATGTAACATTGAACAATGGTCTAATTAGTGCCTATTCTGTTCCAAGTCCTGGGGACAAAACTGAGCAATGCAAATGAGATCCCTCTCCTAATATAGTTTACTTTTAAATGAACAATATTGCAACTCAAGATAATCCTCATTTTTGGCCAATATGTACCAAATGAACAGTATTGTTCTAAATCTGTAATAGATATTCTAGTTTCTACCCAACTACTTTATGAGATTCATGAGTGACTTTACATGTTTATCAAACAATGTCTGCAGACTGAACAAATAAACACAATACAATTGTTATGTTAGAGTTTGCATTATGTTTTGATATTGAATAGATGTTACTTAGATTGTTGAAGGAGCTGTAGATTCGTTTAAGGGAAATCTTGCTTACTAATGACACTTTCTGGGGTTAGAACTAACAATTTATTTTTGATATGGGTTATTTAGGGAAAAAAATAAATCTGCCCTCTTTTCTTTTGCCCTTTTCCTAGAGTCTTGGAATACCTGGTTAAACCTAATGAAGCGGGCAGAATTGAACCTCTGAGCCTGAAACTGACTGCAGATTTGCTGAAAGTAATAGAAAGCTGTGAATGGACAACCAGATTCAAAGGTGTATCAATGTGAAAGAAGTTGAATCTATTGCCAGAAAGAGTATGAGAGGAACCAGATAATGGGAACAAAACCTTCGTAGCCATCCTGGTCAATGCACAGAGGCAAGAATCTAGTTGGGTGTGTGATAGGAAAATACAAGATTTTTTTTTTCTCTAAGTGTGATGGATAGGCCTACAGCTCTAGCATGGCCTGGTAAGAAGACCCAGGAGACCCAGACTGAGTGCCTGTTGTGACACTCTTGGTAGTGAGATGTTTGATAAATCACTTCTCTGCTCTAGGTCTCAGGATTCTCCTGAATAAAAATAAACTCATCCCTTCTGGACTCTACATGCTTTCTCAGTTCTAGAATTTAAGCTGGACCTGAGGAAAGGATATCATTTAGATTGTCAGGGAGGAAGGATGTTCTAGTTAGAGACAGGTGAACCATGTTAAATCAGGAAAACAGTAGACATTTTGTAGTCCTAAGAGTGGAAATGAAAAGTTTGCTTAGGAGGAAAAGTGAGAACATATTTGGAACTTTACTACAGCAATTTTCACGAGTGATAGATGTTACATAACCAAAGTTGTATTTTGCCCTGTATCTAATGAGAAGCTCAGATGAGTCTTCGCCAGACATAGAGTAAGGTGAAAACAGTGCTTTAGGAAGGTATGTTGGGTGCTTAGAGGAACCTTCTTAGTTGTCTAGCCAAGAGATAAGGTCTCATTAGTCCAGTTAGGCCAAAAAGTGGGAGATCACTCAATATGAGGAAGCATTTTGGGAAAAGCTTACATGGCAAGGCTAAAACCCGCCAGGCAGATTATAGTATTAGTGCTGAACTCATCCTGATGTCCCTGTCTTGGTGCAAATGTTACTTTTACTTTTTTTTATTACTATCTCTTGTTTCCCCTAAGTACTCAATCTTGAGAGGAAAATTTAGTCTCCCAGAGGATAAGAATGTGGTTCTGTGTAGTCGTCAGGCACAGTACAACTGTGTGGAAATCAGTTCTTTTAGAAGGGACAGGAATGAACTTCATGCTTCATTGGCATAGCAGGCCACCGAAGTCTGAGTTTTCTCTGTCAGGGTCACAGGTCTAAAAGGGTCTGTATCATAATTGAGCCCATAGCTCATTTCTTTCTAAGCAATTGCAAAAGAACATAGGAAAAAAGAAAAAAGGACTAGAGCCAGGATTTCTTTGTCTCAAAGCAAAGAAATGGGTGCTCTGATTATTAAGGTTTGTGGGTAGGCTAATTGGATGTTGCCAGGGTGATGCTAGATACTGGAATTTTCCTGGGGAAGTTGTCAGTGATGAAGTGACATCCCCCTGACACTGGTATCATGCAGGTTTGCTCTGTACCTAATATCATCAGAAATTGGGGTGACAGCTGCAGACCTGGTATCAATATAACTAGTAGTTGGCACTAGTAGTAGCTAGTAGAGGCACACTCTCTGACTGGTTATTCTCTGATTTCCATCCTGTACTTGTTCCATTTAGACTTTGTCATTGAGCACAGAAATGTGGACAATGGGTGTGCTTGACAGAGTTTGGTTCTGTGGCATGTTAGCTTTTATTTTGGGAGGGCTGAATACAAAGGATATCCCTCTTCTGTTAGTTCTTAGAAGACAGTGAATAACAAGTGCTCTGCCATCAAACACTAGTATTTAGTGAGCATGTGACACATGTCAAGATATAGAGTGTATGCTGAGAGAGATTCTGTGTATTGGGGAACATTTGTTCTCAAACAAAGATCACAGTCAAGACTAAGCCATGAACCAAGAGCTGTTCAGCAGATAGCCCAGTGATAATGTACGGTGGAGATTAAATGCATCAGTACTTCAAAGAAGACATTAATTTAGGTGAAAGATTTAGGACTTGTCAAAGAGGTAGAATTGAAGGGTGGATAGGGTTGAAACAGATCTTCTTTTTCCTTTTCTACTGTGTGAGTCTGTGAATCTGTTTCTTGTAATTGAACATTCTTTGTAGCTAGAGAGGGCTGTGAAGACCCTTGATGACAGCTCATTTTCAAGGCCAAGATGCTGCTTTCATATTCAGGGTTTTTTAGACCAGGAAGGTCAGGAAGCAGATGAGTTGACTTATGATAGTCCTGCATGACTGTCAAAGCACACCTACAGTCCAGTGATTAAGCATGAGGGATGAGGGGACCTTAATATTAATGCCGTGGATACTACTAAATTACTTTTATGAGTAAGTTAGGGTGGGGGCAAAGAGAGTATGGGGAGAGAAAGAGAGATTGCAGTGCTTGAGATCAAACCCAGAGCCTCACACATTCTAGGCAAGTGCTTTACCTTTGAGCTACACCTCCAGCCTGAAGAGTCTGTGTTGATATTAAACAGAAAATTTCATAGTGCAATGCAAACATGGAGTCCATTTGCAGTTACAGTCTTAGAAGAAGGCGGTACTTCTATTGCACCTCTAATGCCTCGGAGCTCAGATGTACCTCTGAGCTGCAGCGAGAGTCCAGTGCAGACAACAGGCTCCAGGTGTGGAGGCAAAGGGAGAGCTGCAGCATTCTGCAGCCTCCCAGGCTCAATCTGGAAACCTATAAATGATTTGTGAGAGTAATAAAGGTTCTGAAATAAGACCATGCAGGAAAAGAACAATGCTGGAGAGCCACACAGAGGTCGAATAGAGAACACAATTGTTCCCTTACTGGTGACCAAGTTTATTACCAGTTGCTAAACTATGTATAGTTAATTGTATGTGATTTGATGGACAAATGTGAATTTTGTCATTCTAACAATTCCTCTTGTCTTTATGAAGCCCTGCAGTTAAAGACACCTCCCCTTTGTATTATTATATGTAAATACACGGGCAGTTTAAGAATAGGCAAAACCAAATGATCAGCACTTCCAAATGGAACACATTTCTAGTTGGATATGTGACATATTTCACATCTCTAGCTGGGAGATATAATTTGAAAATTCTTGCTTGGCTTATGATGTATAATTTTGAAGTAAAAAGCAACACAAGCTTTTAAGAGCTCATTGTATTAGTGATTTTAGAAGGTTTTCTCAGGAAGGAAATGAATGGGGGGAGAGTTTGTGATTCATTTAATAAAACAGCAGAGCTGATGAAAATAGCTTTAAAGTGGTAGAGTTTTCAGGAAGCAAAGCTCCCAAAGCCAGGAGGCAGCACATCAAATGTTTAATGACATTGAGGTGCCAGTGATAATCTGGAAAGGAATACAGACTGGCTTGAAATACTATCATCATTAAAAAAAAAAAAAACACTCTTCGCTGATGATGAAAACTGCTGGTACGTTGCTGAACATTCTGGATAATGAATACCACTTGAGAGATGGGGGAAGGAAGCTGCTGGAACAAAAGAAATTAAACAATATTGAGCCCCTTGGATGAGATTGTTGTGCCTGAAGAGAGAGAGACAGAGGAAAAAAAAATCATCCCAGATTAAAAAGAATGCTTTCCTCCTAAGACACTGACTTCTTTTAGATTTAAAAGTTGACTTTTTTCTACACTGGGATAGATTTTAACTAGGTCTCCTTACAATTTAAAGCCAAACTAACAGAAATGCATTCAACCTTTGACTGTGCTTACCAGTTATTCTTTATGTTATTTCCTAAGTGTCAGCATTGATGCCAACATGTATTAATGGAACTAACGTTCTGTGGTAGTGAATTCTTAGGTGTGTGGACTCTTATTTAGGCCACATACATGCTTTTAAGGTGTTGAGCCAAAAATGGCAAGCAGGTTTCAAGTCTTGTGTCCATACCTACTGATTGATATTCTGTGTGGAGAAATTCAATGAAGGGGAAAGAAGAACTGTTGCATCTCTAATGCCTCGGAGCTCAGATGTACCTCTGAGCTGCAGTGAGAGTCCAGTGCAGACAACAGGCTTAGGAAGCCTGTTGATAAGTGGTAGGGAATGGAGGGAGTGGTGGTAGCCTGGGAGCCATGGTCTCACTATTAGACTTGTAAGGCCTCAACTAGAAACCTTCAGTGATACAACAATACAATATTTGTTGAATTGAGTAGATACTAACTTCTTCAGGGAATCATTGAGTGTATCCTTCAGGTATAGGTTGCTCAAACTACCTCTGAGGGAAACATTTCTTCACCCAGCGTCTTTGAAAATTAATAACTGGAGAAAGACTTGGAATAAAATTGGCTGGCTTCAAGACACTCCATTTTTTTTCCTAGTGAAGGATAACATATTTAAAAATAGAACATTCATGGACTAAAAGAGAAATATCTCATGGACTATATAAAAAATCAGAAACACAAATGGTGGCAGGGATGAAGCCTCAGACCAACTGGAATCCAGGGCTGGAAGCATGTTCTGGTAACTGGAAGTTTGATATCTTTGTACTAATGCTACTAAAATTTTTCCTCACAAGGTTTGGAGATTGTTATGGCCCTGGTAGGGCTTCTACTTCTTGTTACAGGAATCAGGGAAAGCCCTGCTTCTGACCAGCACCTTGGGTTGAAGATTTTAGGCTCAATTCCTGTAATGATCCAGCCCAACCTTTTAACGTAAGGTGCTGTCTAAATGGTCATCTGCCATATTCCTAATACCGTTCCAAGGTGATGGCATTAGGAATATGGCAGATGACCAATACCAACTTATCTGAGAAAAAGTAACCCAAAAAAACAAAAAAAACCACACACCAAAAAACCAAACCAAACCAAACCAAAAACTCTCGGACAGGAAGGGGTAGAAAAGAGGAGAAAATAAGATAAACAACTTTAACACAAAAATATGATATGATGACAAATAAAAATCCCCCCTCCAAACTCTTCTAGCTTTCTGTTTTTCTTGAGTGAGTCTTGATATACTGCCTAAAAAATTGTCCATTTCATCTATATTTTCAAATTCATTGGCATAAAGTTGTTAATAATATCTTTTTTTTCCTAATATATTCGTGTGTCAACTCTAGTGACAATCCTTTTTATTTATCCTGGTTTTGGTCTGTGTACATCCTATTTTTGATCAAGTTCACAAAAGGTTTTGTCAATATCATTATTGCTATTGAAGAACAAACTGGTGTTCAACTCAGACCTTTGTATTGTATGTTTATTTTATTAACTGTTCACAAATCTGGCTTGTTTATTAAAAAAATCCCCCCAAAAGCTGTAAAAGCGAATATGATAAATAATGGGAAGATGAAAAAGATAAATTCAACTCAGCTGAAACTGAAATAATAGATTAAAACTTAGCTTTCAAATACCCTTTAGTAGTTTAGTTGCATCAAGGATACACAAATAGGTATGTGAAGGCATACTAGTATTTACATTTCTTTTATAAAAAGACAAACTATTATACAAAACAAATGTGAAATAACATTGATCATTTATATAATAAAACAATAT